ATACATAAAAAGCATCTGAGATCTTTTGAAATTTATTAAGTTCACATATAACAACTCTCCTTTAAAGTTATACCTCACAGGGCTGGCTCACTTGGGAGAGTGTGGTGCTGATAACACCAAGGCCATGGGTTCAGATCCCTATATAGGGATGGCTGGTTAGCTCACTTGGGAGAACGTGGTGCTGACAACACCAAGTAAAGGGTTAAGATCCCCTTACCGGTCATCTTTTTTTTTTTTAAATTATAACTCACAAAGATGTAAAGTGAAGAAAAACAGGAAAGGCAATAATACAGCTTATCATAGTGCATTAAACAAATTCCTAATTTCATCTTTGTATCCTACTTACTAATAAATAGTTACATTGTGTTTTGTGCTTGTATTGGAAATTGACATTTAGTAGCAGGATAAAACTCTTATATGAATTACTGTGGAGGGAGCAGTGTTAAGAAATTTTGACTCCTTGCTAGAGATTCTGTAAATGTGTTATTTGTAGCAGTTCAAGTTCACACTGAAGAGCAACAGAAGAGTAATTCACCAGAAAGCCTTGACACAGATGGTCTTCTCATTTCTGGTAAGCAATAGGTTCATATTGTCTAATTTGATTGAGTTACAAGATAATGCCTTAGTGGTTGCTATGCAGATTCAGGTTGTTGTCTATTAAATTAACTTTTCAAATAAATTATCCCAATGACATTTTTGCAGTTGCTATATACACCTTACAGTAAACTAAATCTAAGTGATTCTTTTCTTGAAAAGAATTGGCAATGGATCTAAAGGAGGTTAGTCTTTCTATACAAGGGTTTTTTTGTTTAAAAATCTTTAGTGCTGTCAGACGTTATTTTATGTTTTTCCTTTATCCTCAACCATAGTCTTTCAATAAAGCAGGAATGAGAAGTGAGATTTCATTTTGATATCAGAACTTAGATAAATTTTAGTCACTGATTGGTAAATAGTAAATGCCTTTTATAGAGCCACTTAAGTCTCATGTCAGTTGGACCTCTAACTTTACTCTTAATTAAGATTGGATTAAAGGTTTAATACACTAGTACCCTTATTTAGAATTTACCAGTCAGAGTGTCTCTATATATCTGATATCTAATTAAGTTTATAGACTTGCTAAGCTAGTCTGTTAGGTTATAGACACTGTGGAAGAATAAGGATTATACCCAAAAAATGTTTTGTGTAGGTTGGCCGGTACAGCTAAGCAAAATAAGTCTTGGTGGTTAGTAAATCTTTTCTGTCTCTGTTCATTATTCATTTGAGTCTACGGAAGCTTTGTTATATCTGGGTGTCTGCTAGTGCAAAGTATCTTTACATTCTAGACCAGTTTTCACTGATTCTCATTTTCCTCTCTGTAAAATGAGTATAATAACTTTGCCTACATAATTTCCAATCCTTTTATAAGTGCTTAAATTGTAAAACAACATATATGTATAATAGAATTATACTAGCAATTAATTGTGTTTTAGCATTCTTACCAGAAACTATCTTAAACTCTGGGAATTCTACCATGGCCATGCTTTCATACGGTTTTCTGGTCCATGACTGATTCTTATCCATAACTCTTGTGCATTTTGACTTTTATTAACATAATAATTGCCTTTCTTGGTGAATACCTTCTGATTTAAGTCATGGTTTAAGCAAATGTTTTATACGTGTTCATAGTTAGAAAATTTTATATTAATATATACATTACCATAAATATTCTGAATTTTGTAGAATCATCCCCAAATAAAATGAACACTGAATTGGAAACTCAGATTTCTCATGAAGTCAAGAGTGAAAAAATGGAAATGTCTTCTAAAGCGATGCATGTTTGTCATGAAGATCAAGATGAAGACAAAATGGAAGTGACAGAAAACATTGAGGTCCCTGCACACCAGCTCATTGTGCAGCAGGAGGAGCTGCAGTTGTTAGAGGATCCTAAAGCAGTGGTATCCAAAGAAGAATCAAGGCCTCCAAAATTAACCACAGACTCTGTCACTGTTCCACCAGAAACCTTAGTGTCCCCGCGTGAGGAAAGAACTCTGTTACATTCTAATGAACAGTTGGTTATGGAAAGGGTACAAGAAGAAATGGAACAGAAAGAAAATTCTGAATTTTCCACTGGGTTTATGAACTTTGAAATGACTCCTGCAACTGAGAGTTGTATGAAAGATGACTCAGGCCAAGGAGACAAATCTATAAAATCATCATCTGAGACAGACTCATTGTTTTCATCGTCAGCAGACACGAGCAAGGCATATGTGTCTTCCTCTCCCACCCGCTCTTCAGACTTGCCTTCACATGACATGCTGCACAGCTGCCCTTCAGCTCTTGGTTCTTCTGCTGGAAGCATCATGCCAACCACGTACATCTCAGTCACTCCCAAAATTGGCATGGGTAAACCAGCTATTACGAAAAGAAAATTTTCTCCTGGTAGACCTCGGTCCAAACAGGTAGGGTGATTTTAATGATGCTGACAGAAAAGCTGTTGGAGAAATTACATAAAATAAGGTGTATGTGTAACTTTGGTTTGGGAAGACACGTTTTCTATCCTCAGGTAGGACTTAGATGTAATATTAACTTCTGTGTTTTGGCCATTATTTTAAAAATGCTGTTTTTCTTAGACCTGAAGTGATCTTATTTGGAATTTCAACTAAGTTGGGACATAAAAATGCCATCTAGAAAATACTTAAAAAATTTTTTAGTTATGTGCCTCAGTAACTGTACAGCCTTAAACAATCAGTAAAGTTTTGGGTATATAGTAACTAACATTTTTTTCTCTCTAATATATTTATCTGTTTGGTATTATTTATTGCATATATTTTTAACTACACAAGTATCAACATTTGTGATGGGAAATTTTCATGCTGGGGAATTTCTTATTTTGATGTTTTTATTAATTGCTAACTATTTTGTGGGTTTTTAAAAAAATTTTTCCAAGTTAGGACCTGTTTCAGTAGTTTCATTAAAAAAAAAAAATCTTAGAATTCTATTATTCATCTTCAGGAAGTGAAGGGAACTCTTCTCATGATTGTTGTAAGTGGTGTGGATTCTGCCATTGAAGGATGAGTTCCTGTTCTTTTTAAGTGGAATTGAAATGAAACTACATGACAAAATGAAGATACTGTAGCTAAGAATGATTTATTGTTACTTTCTGAAGTGTTCTTTTTTTTAAATGGTAAGATGTGGAAAAGGTAGAGAAGTGCTTAGTCACAATAGTATTTTGTAGTTTTAAGTCTCATGATTTAAATGGCTTCATGATTAAAGTTTGACTTTTTATAAGAATAATATCTTGATCGTCTAATTTTGGAATTGTAAAGTTAGTTAAAAAAAATCTGTTTTACTTATGTGAAAATTAGTTTCCTCTAAATAAAACCCAGATATATTATATTCTCTAAAGACAAGTTACACCAAAGACAAAGCGATTGCCACATGGAATTTAGCTATTTCTCTAAATACATATGCAGTAAACTAAAACATTCTTATATATACCTTTGTCTAAGTATTTTCCTTGATATTTATTTCTGCTCTACCAAGAGAGTTTTTTCTTCTCAAACTAGTTCTACTTCCCAGTAAGTCTTTTCCTGTTTTGTTTTGAATAACTATATAATAATTATGTAGTTCCAACTTTGAAGACTGTAGTAGTGGAAAATTGAGTTTCAAATTTACTGTTGGTTCAGATATTTACATTCTTTAAAGATACTGTATCATAAATAGTTTTGTTAAATTTTACTAGTATCTCTCCTTATTTGGAGACTTTTGTTTCAACTGAGAAAACAGATTCAATATGTATTATTTTTCTATTGACTTATGTTCCAAAATAGCGCGTGTACGTGTGCGTGCGTGCATGTGTGCGTGCGTGTGGGCGTGTGTTTCTTCCTGGCTTTTCCCATCTTATGTGAGCCACATCCTGATATTTGCTGTTGCTTCTGCTGCATTGTTTTTGAGTTTCCAAATCTGGTAATATTCTGCTTTCTGTTTAGCTGCCACCCTCTCATTACTACTTCATCATTTGTTGCTGTTCTCATAAGCATTTTGTTTTCCGTGTTTTTCCTCCCTTTAGCTTTTTAGTCTTTCAATCTTGATTTTAGTTATGTAGCAAACAACCTCTACTTGGTGATTTGTGACTTGCTAATATGCTACTGATATTGGGGAGAGTATGAATTGAATAGGACATGGCGGAGGCACTGGGACCACAACTTCCAGGGAATATTCTATACCAAACAGGAATGTGTATATTCTTTCATTGGAAATAATGAAGTCCATTATTGTTACATGAATTTCTTTGTGTTACACTTCTGGTTTTATTTAATGTTTCTTTTACATATTCTTGGCAGTGGGGAGTGGCTGTAAAATGAGATGGATTTTTGTGATAATTATTGTGATGTGAACAAGATTCTTGGGTTTCTAGCTACTTTCTGTCAGCATCACAGGTGTTTCCATATTTTGTTGAATACATCAGTTCTTTGGTCTTTACCAGTGAAGTGAATACCATCTTAACCAAAGAACTGGGAAGTGGTCAGATCTTTATGTTTAGCTTAATGATTTTCTAGCACTATATAAACTTTTTAAGAATTCATTACAAAATTAAAAGAATAATTTAATTAGAAACAAAGGAAATCTGAAAGATTTCAAGGTTGATGTGATAGCTAGTGATTGAATTATCAGATATTATTTGGAGATAAGTTAGTCAGTAGAAGGGTAAGCCATTGCTGTCCAATATAAATATAATACTAACCACATATGTGTAATTATAAATTTTCTAGTAGTCACACTTAAAAAATAAAAAGCAATTGAAATAAATTTTAATGTATTTTATTTAACCCAGTATATTCAAAATGTTATTTTAGCATTTAATCAATATAAAAATGAGCAAGATATTTTACAGTCATTTTTTATGCCAAGAGTTTGAAATCTGGTTTGTGTTTTATACTTAAAACACATCTCAGTTTGGACTAGCTACATTAGGAGTGCTTGGTAGCCATATGAGTAGTGGCTACCTTACTGGACAGTGAGAGGCAAAGCATTTTGAAAAATATAAAACATTAGTTCCAGAATTGTTGGTGAAATTAAAAGAAATACCAAATGAATTCAAGATTGATAAGTTAAGAATGTTGCTATGCTTTTATTATTTTTAAGGATTGAAGTAGAACTATTCTACTTTCTCCAGTTGCTCATAGGGCCCATTTTAAAACAGATAACTACTAAACCATATGTTGTAGCAACAAATCACTGTGCATATTTTCAATGTACATTAAGTTATCAAAGTACAATCCATATATATAACCAGTATAAGTGATTTTCTGAATCTGAGACATCTTGACACAGAAAGTGAAATCTATATCTCAGGTGCTGGGAGTCCATTATCTGTAAACCATACAGAATTATTTTTCCTTTACAGGAGGTTTAGTAATTGAAGTTCAGTGTTTTATATTGTACTTATAATGTGGAAAATTTTAGGGGCTATTTAGGGAGAAATATAATGCTTATGTTTTTCATGAGATATTTCAAATATATCTCAAACATATACTTCAGAAACTTACTGACTACGGGAGTAGTAACAAATTTTTATGATGGTTGTGGATAGAAAAGATTCTTTTTTTTTTTTTTTGGTTTTTTTCTTGCCCATTTCTGAAACAGGATTTCATAAAGGTAAGGACAAAAAATTAGGGGTAATAGGTAGTAGGGGAAGGAAATTTGTGGGAGCAGTAATTTGGACATTGTTTCATACAGATTGTCCTAATGAACTAGTTGTATTTTCTCATTTTTTTATTGAAGTTATGTATTTATAAATATTTTGATATTCCCCTATTCGGTATTTTTGTAGGTATATTCACATTGGGACTTGGGTTTAGAAAACTGGTCATTGACCCCATCACATATTGCAATCAGCCGGGGGCCCTTTAAAACATGATTTAGCCCTAAATCAATTAAAATACAACCTGTGAGGTTCTTCTTTAACCTTAAAGTGGAGTCCTGAATTAGAAAAATGTGCTACTCGTATTTTACCTTTTTTAGTGCATTAAACATAATACTACAAGAAGTGTTCTTAAAAAGTGAAAAATAGGGGCCGGCTCGGTGGCACACTGCTACAGTGCGCCGCTTGAGAGTGCGGTGGCGCTCCTGCCGAGGGTTCGGATCCCACATGCAGACCGGTTCCCGCTCACTGGCTGAGCGAGGTGTGGGGTCAACACCAAGGGTTGCGATCCCGTTGCCGGTCCCAGTCCGGTACGGGTGCAACACTGAGGGTTGCGATCCGTTGCCGGACATGAAAAAAGACAAAAAGGAAAAAAAAAAAAAGTGAAAAATAAGATGGAAATTTTAATTTATCGTATCAAATCATATCATTTATTTTTATATCAATCTTTATTCCGTTCCACTCATTCCACAGTTGTATTTATCCATTGTAATTTGGAAATTCTGAGATAATAATCTTAGGTCATCTTGTATTATTTGCCCTATGTGAATAATCATATTTTCATATTTTGTGGAAAGATATTTAGTACAGTCACATGACTATGATCTGCTCAGACACTCTTGTATACTAAATGCTTTCAAGGTTGTATTGAACATTTTTATTCTGTGAAATATATTTTCTTATGATTTGTGGTAAACATCTCAAGAAAATTTCATGAAAGCAAACATAGGTACTATATATTAACTTTTAGACAAATTTTGAGAACTTTTACTTTATTTTTGATTTTTACTTTTCCACCATTTCTTGCTAACATCATGTATTGGAAAATTTAGGAATAAGTTCTAAGACTGATATCTATTGAGTGGTTTCATAGAGAAGGTGAAATTTCTTCAGTATAATAGGATTCCAAAGGTAGTATTTCATTAGGTCATAACCACTTTCCCATTAGTTAACTGTTTTTTTAAAATTTTCATCAGTTTCAGTAATTTTATTATGAAACATAAGATGTTATAACATACTTGTGTACTGCAATAGCATTTTAAATGAGGTGTTTTAAATTAATGTATCAGTTTCATCATCTATTCCTGTGAGAGAAAAACAGTCCTCCCAGAATAAGATGTAGAGCATTGTAGTTTTAACAATTAATTACAAGTAGGCAGTTTCTTTCTTTCTTTTTTTTTTTTTAGTGGTAGTAGTCACTTTCTGGTTTGTAAGCAAATTCCTTAGCAAAAAGTACTGAAGTCTTTCGGGTTTTATTTTGTTTTATTTTTAAAATGAAAAAGAAAACTAGATCTGTAAATCATGCTGTCTGAATAAGGAGAGATTCAGTTCTTGGTAAGTTATTTCTTACCAGTACCAGATTTTAATTAAAGGAAGTTTGATTATGTCATATCTAGCTTTTAAATAAAATAAGTGCGAATTTTTAAGCCTTGCCTTATATAATGTATGCACAATGACATCATTTATTTCTTTAAGAAATGTATATTTCTTTAAAGGAAAAAAAACTACCTTGGATAGTTTTTTTGTTTTTTTTGT